TCTCTCTAAAAGATGGCATAATAGAAGAAAGTGTGAGGGTTTCTTTGAGTACTGTTTTTATGCCCCACCTGACTTGTCCTGAATGTCACGATTACCATGCGACACATTGGCACTTGTTCGAAACCCATTTGGTGGGCTGATGAGGCCCAATGAGGTGAAAACTGCCGTCTGAGGCGAGGCTAAGTGGACTGCACTGACACCGTGGGACCAATAAGCTGTATCCACCCTACTTCGTCTAAGCTGGTGGACCGGTGGTTGAATTTTCCCACAAAGGTATGCGTAGAGCTGATGTTTTCCACTCTATTTCGCATAGCCTAGCTTTCTCAAAAGGTCTACTCCTCCGGGATGGACGGCAGTTTCGACCTCGCCTCGGTCTTATCAACACCCCAAGCGGGAGTCGAGCCATGCCAGTACAGCATGTGGCCCCGACACGGTAACCACGACGCCACATTTCCACGGGTGCAATTGAGTCACAGGGCAGCTGTGAAATGCATCGGATTCGTCAGCTCTACTCATATCATTGTGGGAAAAATGTCCTACAATTCCTTCATCACCTTAAGCGAAATCGGGTGAATACAACTCATAAATCGGTTAGAGTGTGTTTTTATGTGCTTATGTGTTTTGATGGTGACACGCAAATGCTTGCTCGGACGGTGGAATTCGAGCATGTCTCTTAAGCGCCCTGCTCAATGCAACACTTCGGCGAGCTCCGATTTTGACTCCTCTGTTGCCAGGCCGACTCGTATTCAGGCCTCCCAGCAACCGGCCAGAGATACGCGGCCACGGGGACGGTGAGAGCTGGTCGACTCGTGCCGGAAACTGCAGTCAATCCGTGCGGGACTGACGAGGCAACCTGATACGTCAGGCCGACTGGCAACCGAACCCCTCTGACCTGAACTCCTTTTCTATCGATTCTCAGTCCTGCCATGGGAATTAATTACTTTGACTGTCTACCCAAAGGCATAGCGACAAATTGGGCAAGTGGGCAGAGATGATCCGCCGGCATCGATTGTCCGCGAGGGAGCATCAAAGCTGAAATAATTCACGAATTGGCACTAGACTTTGACGCTGAAAACGGCTTGATGTGTTGAACAAAGTGCCCTTTTGTGTGCTCGTTTCGCGCAGACTCGGCAAAACATTTAGCGCAACCGCCGGGGTTGTGGTTGGTCTCTAATTGAGGGGGATGCGTTAGCAACCGCCACAACAGTCACTGATCAGAGGGCTGTTAGGCTACATCCTCTGTCGTGTCAGCTTTTAAGGTGACAACCTTTCTGAATCAACACACATTGTCACGGCTGCCAGTGGATGACAGAATATATTTGACTCTCAAAGCAGGCTTTATCGCATTTTATAGTAGCAATATGAATGATGCTGGCATGTATTTCGCATCAAGAGTCAAATGCACTACTTATATGCATTGTAAGTAGACCTCACGCACATAATAAATCGTAAATAATAGTTCTGGTCACCCTAGGTCGCATTAGGTGACGAAGGACGCACAATTGAATCCTATCACATTGGTAAGCGAAAGTAACAAGCATTATAAGTCCTAGTTCTATAATTGTGGAAAATCGCAACTATCAGTCCTACATCGCTTTACCCAATTTATGGTAAATACAGCTGTAATACGGCTGTTGTTGAAAAATTAATTAAATTCACAGCCAACCGGTCTCGAGATTATTAGATTATCGTGAATAAAAATCTGGTATCCT